TCAGTCCTTGCAGAGCTGTAGGAGTTGCAGATTGTTTGGCTGTAGTTGAAACTAGCTGGCCTGCACTAAAGGCAGCAACACGCTCCATGCATTTATATTTCTAGCAAGAGTTTTGTCAGTTGTTGCATCCAATATTTTCATATGATTAAAACAAAGTTTCTGACTTGCATGCTGTATGAAGCACAATATTGTACTATTCCAGTTACTGTAATTGTTTTCCTATAATACATGCCAGAGGGGAAATACTGGAGAAAGATAGTTTCATGTGTTGTCGAAGGCACAGTGAGTTTTCTGTGTCCGGTTTTATTGCTCTTCATAAAATTAAAACAAACAAAACAGTCCTGGTTTTGCACAGCTAATAGGATTTAAAAAGTAAAGAAAATCACTTCAGCCTAAATGTATTTGTTAGTCCCAATTAGATTAAATTCACTGAATTGACTGGAATTTGGAAAATCAACATTTATCTAAGTTAAATGGATTCGGTGGATTTACTCTAATTGAGAATAACACCTGGATTTAGGCATGTGTTCTATAATGATAAGGCAATAGAGTGAGTGGCAGGATGCCTTGCTGTTCCCCATACCTGCTTGCACTAGAACAAAAACATTTTCATTGTTTCAATTATGGATTATTTTCTGGCCCCACTAAAAATTACAAAGCACGGCAGGATATATCAATGACCCATGTTCAAAAGAAAGCCGGTGTGCCCAGAGCCAGAAAACACAAGCTGCAATAAAAGTAAAATATGATTAATTGAAATATGAACCGAGATCCTGCATCAGTTATGTAACCACAATGTTGTGACCAGGCCCGTAGCCAGGATTTTGATTCGGGGGGGGGGGGGGGGTGAGGTTGAGTGAAAGAGGGTCTACCCTAGCAAGTATATAAGTAAAGTAAATAAATAAATAAATAATATATTGAGCATGGTGATCAGATCATGATATGAATAAACATAACAGTTTAAATAATGTACCAGTAAGGCCTTTTTGCAGACCACCATGAGAATTTCGGGGGGAGGGGGGCTGAAGCCCCCAAAGCCCCACCCCACCCCCGGCTACATGCCTGGTTGTGACTATGCCCCATCTCCCAGACTCATCTCTCCAACCTGCATTACAATCCAGCAAAGGATGAAGTGTCCACCCTCCTCTATCTCCAGTATGCCATGGTGGGAGACGCAGAATGGAAAATGGCGTCTCAAGTTTCTTTTGTAACTCTTTGCGGCATGGGGCAGGAGGGGGCTTGAAGTGTCATGGTTCACTATCCCACTCTTCAGTTCTGCAGAACTTATCCCTCAGTGCAGCTGTCTAGATTTTGAGGTGGGCTTCGGGGATAGTTATGTGTGTGGCCATGGCCACAATCAAAGATGCCAATGGGAAACAATAACAAGCTTTCAAGGTTTATCCTAGAACATTGAAACTAATGAGATGCCTGCCATATACTTTTTATAGTGAGGTATTTTCTGATCCCAGTGAATTCTAATTGTTACGGTGAGTTGTAAAAGGATCAGCACCAAGTATATGTGTGAGTGTGTGTGTGTGTGTGTGTGTGTTAAAGAAAACCTTATACTGTTAATTATCATGTGCAGCTGCTAATCTAGGTCAGCAAGTTGGTTTGAGCCACACCCGGTGGGGTATAACTGTATGTGGCTTAGAATACAGTTCAGCTCTATGCTCAAAAGCATTCGCTCTGAGGAGTCTTTTGCTCACAGCGTTTTTCTCAGCCATTTTGCGCTGCTCATATGAAGGGAGATGAAGAAGCTAAGGTTGTATTTCTTACAAGGACTATGTAAGTTTGTTGCACTGTTTATTTTATATGCAACGCTGCAAGTTTATGTTTTGACTCTTCTGACAAGAGTAAAGTTTTCTGTTTTTTCTTCCTGCTTTTGTGCAAAGTTATTGCATCTTTTGCATTGGACCAGACTAAATTCCGCTTAAGCGCAACACTAATGTCTCTCTGAAATTGGATTTTTTCTTTTAATGCACTGCTTCTTCAGCTGTGGGTCCTGAACCCAAATGGGATCCTCTTAATTCAGTATTGGAGTCATGAAAAATTTGGCAGCAGTAAAAGTTTTTTGAACACCATGCATTTAAACAAATGGACTCTGCAGAAAATGTGTCAGTTGTATTCCACAAAAACAAAAAATAGCCTGTTTAGCAAGCCTTGCAAATGCTTATTATTAGTAAATATTTGACTTTTATATAGGTATATATACTTTATATACATATATACCTAGGAGTCATGCAAAAATTTCTCAAGTGGAAAGGGGTCGGGATTTGAAAAATTTTAATAAGTCCTGCTGTAATGGGTCCTGCCCACTGAAAATCAAAGTAGGATCACATCTGCTTCGTTGTATTATAACTTGACAATAGATGACATTGGATTTTTTTTGTCCAAATATCTTCTATAAGTTGCAATAAAAAAGTATCCTACTAATGAAAAAACCCTACATTTGTTGGACTTTTTTTGTCCTGGCCGTGCTCCAAAAACAGCTGAAATCTGGAGAAATTGTTTTCAGCTATTAGATATCAACGTTGCAGAATGTCTACATATGTAGGTTTAAGCGTAAGTGGATTCTGCAATAAAATGGATGCTTAAGGACTGTAATGCCCCACTGTAGTCTAGCAATTAAAATAGTGCTCTAGTGCCAAATTTTGTGGCAGAAAGTAGTTTACGAGGGAAGAATGACAGCCATGAATCATCAATGAGGAATGTTAGTGAGCTTCTAAAGTATACCCTAATCTTCTTCCAATCATGGGAAGAAAAACAGGTTTGATGATATTTTGTTTCTCGGTGTTATTACTAATGTATAAGCTTTCTGAACAAATTTACTTCTGTAACTGCAAAGTAATCCGCAATGTCTTTCAACACAAGGGCTAATGTTCTTTCGGATGATGTAGATGAAAGATTATCATGGCTGTCTGTCAAACACCCAACCACATTTTCATCCTCACCTTCTTAATCCAATGCCTCATATTGTTATTCTACTGTGATACATAATTGATTCAGCAACTACAGCAAAATCTCTTTATCCCTGGTAGCAAATTAAAGTATAGTTTTGAAAAGCTTTTTTCAGGAGGCTGAAAGAAAGGAACAGCCTCCACTTATAGCTTATTTTTTACCCTTTTTGAGCCATCATCTCTAATGAATTTAAGGGACAGCACTATGAACTATCTGTGTTCTGAGCAGCAGATTCTCTCAGCAATATCTAGTGTTTAGAAGAGAATTGTAATGCCATCTAGCTGGAGTTGCCTCCATCTTGCCTTACCATGGCACTGAGACTAACGCCCCTTCTACTCATATCCCAAGAGCTGATCCCAGATTATCTGTTTATCCCAGGTTATATCATGGGATATAGGTCAGTGTAGAAGGGGCTAGAGTGAAGTATTGCAGACTGATGCTAAATTCGGAACAAAGCCAAAAAGTATTCTGGAATTAAATACATGGCAATAATATCCAAAAGAGCGAGCATGGTGTGGTGCTTTCAGCATCTCTGCAGCTCTGGAGACCAAGATTCACATCCCTGCTCTCACCCATGGAAACCCATTAGGTGAACTTGGGCAAGTCACACTCTCTCATCCTCAAAGGAAACATTCTGATGAAACTGTCTGCCTCGGAGTGTGGTGGAAGCTCTTTTGGAGGCTTTTAAACCGAGGTTGGATGGCCATCTGTTTAATTGGGCTGCGGCGCAGTTAGCTAGGAGTCAGCTGCATTAAATCACCACTGTTCGAAAGATCATTAGTTCAAAGCCAACCTGGGTTGGAGTAAGCTCCTGATCATTTGTCTAGCTTGCTATTGACCTTTGCAGCCCGAAAGATAGTTGCATCTGTCAAGTAGGAAATTTAGGTACTGCTTATGCGGGGAGGCTAATTTAACTAATTTACAACACCATAAAAATCTCCAGCAGCAGGAAAAAGAATGAGGAAGTACTGCATCATGGACTTGGTGTCACAAGTGGTCCATAAAGCGGTGGCCAGAATTCAGGCATACCCTTATGAAGCTTAAATTGGATCTGTGTTTGTCTACATATGTTGTGTGTCTATGGCATTGAATGTTTGCCATGTATTTGTGCATTGTAATCCGTCCTGAGTCCCATGCTGGGTGGGAAGGGTGGAATATAAATACTGCAAATAAATAAATAAATAATTTGTCAGGCGTGCTTTGATTGTGCTTTTCCTGCATGGCAGGGAGCTGGATTAGATGGCCCATGTGGCCTCCTCCAATTCTATGATTCTATAATAGGTTCATTTTAGGTCACCTTAAGTTGAAAATAACTTGAAGGCACACAACAGGAACACAATCTCCAAAAATGTGATGTGATGCTCTTCTCAGACCTGTGACACTCACCCACCTCATTTATACAATAATTAATGGTTTATAGTGTTGTGGGTTGTCATAGGTGTTAGTGTCCCTTTTTTTTTTGAAGGCACAGAGTGCTGACATCAAGCTCAGCCATTGAAATGATCCTCCTACCCTATGCATCCACAATTCCAGCACTTGTATACATCCAGCTCTCTTCAGCTACAACTGAAGATGCTATAATTGTTATAATTGAGGAATGTTATAATTGAGGGATCATACAGAATTCTAGATTTCAAATGAAAGGAAATTCTACTGTCTAAAAACAACTGCTTTTTTCTATTTTGTTGTGAACTACAGTTTTGCTCTTATTAGATAAGTGTCTAGCAGATGATTTATGAAGCATGGCAGTTCTCCCTTCTTTTTCCAGGAAACATACTTAATATATTTTTGTTTTAAAAAACAGGGGTTGCAAATATGCATGCATAAACTGATTTGTGATAAAGTATCTTGCAGAATTAGATGCGAAAATCCTGCCTCCATTTATTTCCTCAAGACACATACATTATTGTTCCTTTAATATAAAGGAACTGTTTGGTTAAAGTGCTATAGGAAGTTGCCAGCTACCTTTTCAATTACTGTTAAGTGATGGGCTCTTATACATTATTTATAATCTAGCCTTGGCATTTGCCTCCTATTGACAGGTCCGCTATTCAGAAACTGGGAGCAGAAATCTTTGAAAATGTCTACAAGTTTCTCCGCCAAGCAAGACGGGAAAATGTAAGTGAAGATAAAATCAGAGAATACCTGGAAAAAATGGTGTCTCGGGCAAGTGACTGTTTTGAAGTAGATCAGCTTATCTATTTTGAAGACCAGCTAGAAGATGCCGCAGTATGACATGTATCTCAGAATGGATTTACTTGGATTCTCCGAAACCAGTGAACATAGAAAGTTTTCACACAGAGTCAAGTAAGCATCCTGTGATGTGGTTGGAGTCATGTAGTTAGGGATATTTACAGCCATTTTGTAGTATGGCTGTATGAGATTAAGAGCACTCTTCTTCATCTCCTAATGCTCTCATTCAGAACTTTTCATCTTGTCCATGCAGAAGCAGTATTGGTACATAAGAGCGCAATCATCTTTTCTTTGAAAAGTATTGCAGGAAAGTTATATGATTCCATTTAGGGGAAACAGTGGTGTTCAGCAACCTGCATTCCATCCATATTTTGAAATGATACACAAGGCTAAGTGTAATATATGAGTTAGAAGAACAATACAGAATCAAAGGAAACAACTTTGTTTTGGTTTACTCAAATTATTTAGAAATGAAGTGGGGAAAGCAACTGCTCTAACACTCATTTGATTGTAAATATTGGGATGAATTCTCTATGGTATTCTAGGCAGCATTTTTACTTTGAAAGACAGACTTTGTGGGTGTTTCCATTTCCCGAGGGTCCACAATGTTTACCTCCCTGTTTTTTATTCTTTACTTCACTAATTAACTCTTGTTTTGATGGTGTTCCTGTTTCAAAAATGAATCTTCTAGTATATTGCTATCCTTACACAACAGAGTAATTTGACTATGTCGTGACATCACTGATAGTAAAGAAAGTGACTTAAAAGACTTTATGAACATTTTCCACATTCAAAACTAGTGTTGTTTACTCTCCGAAATGTTCCCTGTATAATAATATCCCCCAGGTATTTAACTGGGGAGAGGCAAAACATAAGCACTGCCTCTCCAAATGTGATCTTCCTTCATTCCTCAAATTTGAGAGTGAAAGATTGCAGAATTATTATTTGAGCTTTGCCCCCAACCTCACTGAAGTTACTCTTTTGACATTACTGTGAATAGGAACAAGAAGCTAGTTTCCAAACAGGTGTGCTAAAGGTACCACCAATCAGGACTGCATAGGAAAGACTCAAATGAAGCATCACCACTGCTCTAGCTGATATCAGTTGTGATTGCTGTATATGAAGCAGAGGATGGTGCAGAGAGAAAAGGTTGTGTTTTTGCATGTTAGGAATGGAACCCTTTCCTTGCGCCATGAAAAACCTAGTTCCAAATCTCCAAAAAGATGGGCAGAAAACATTTGCAATGTTCAATGTATTGTTGAAAGATTTCATGGCCAGAATTACTAAGTTGCTGTGAGTTTTCTGGGCTGTATGGCCATATTCCAGAAGCATTCTCTCCTGATGTTTCACCCACATCTATGGAAGGCATCCTCAGAGGTTATGAGGACCTCACAATCTCTGAGGATGCCTGCCATAGATGTAGGTGAAACATCAGGAGAGAATGCTTCTGGAACATGGCCATACAGCCCAGAAAACTCACAGCAACCCATTTGCAATGTTGCCTCTCCACTATGGCTCAGCCCTGTTAAAAGGTATTGTTTTTCAAATATATGTCATGTACAGATCATGCATGTTTCCTTTTATAAGAGAGATAGGTGGTGGCTCCTCGGCTGTGGAACGCCCTTCTTACGGACATTAGACTAGCACCATCTCTCATGGTATTCCGCAAAAAAGTGAAGACCTGGCTGTTTGAGCAGGCGTTCAAATAATTAGTGCAATGATTGGTTAATGAACACTGGAATGGAACAATGGATGACGGATGATGTTTTTGATGATGAGATGACAGTGAATGGGTATTGTAGTAACTGTTTATTAATTGTGTAATGTGTTAGGTTGTTAACTGTTTCTATACTGTAGCACTGAATTTTTGCTGTTCGTATTTGTTATGAACCGCTGTGAGTCGCCTTCGGGCTGAGAACAGCGGTATATAAGTAAGGTAAATAAATAAATAAATAAATAAATAAATAATGCCATATATGGCCATTTCAACCTAGAAGTCTTAGAATCATTTTTATTTTCATTTTGTAAAGCATGTCCTTGCATCACTATATATTAAACACACAGTAAAAACAATAACATATTTGATTATTCTCCTTAAACAATTTTTGTTTATCTTCACTTTGTTTCAGCTGCATTCATTTTTTTCGGCTCACAGTCAGCATTGTTCCCATGGGTTTTTTCGTTGCTGTTATTTGAGAGGCCACATGATGTAGCCTGCTCTGCTGAGCAATCTGGTAATAGTCCATTATGGTTCCAAGCCGCATCTAGTTCATTTTTAAAGGGTTGTCTGATATCACAGTATTAGAGTCATCAACCCCTGTGGCTTTGATAATATGAAGTCAAAAAGAACAACCCGTGGGTGAATTAGACTACCTGGAGGAGTCAGCTACTCTGGTATTCATTAAAAGTAACCTTTTCAGTCTGGGATTCATGTTCTTAGCTACCCACGCTGTCTTCAGGGAAACACTTTCAGGAGTCCATTTTTTATGTATTCAAAGAGAGAGAGAGAGAGAGGCGCAAGTAAACTTAAAGCCACTTCAACTGTTTTCCTTTTCCAAGGCAGACTATACTCTGAGAATTCATTTTACTTTCAACCTCATTGATTAAATGAAATCTTTCCTTAATACAGACTATAAGTGATGGTTAATATGAAAGATTATTGCATCATATGTGACATCAGCAAGCCAGTTTCAGAGGACTGGGATATGGGCATATATAGCTGTGACATCCAAGAGATGGAAAAACCAGAAATCTCTGAAGGAACTGCTTTCCTCAAGTATCTGGTGCCTGCAGCCATCTCTGGTTCTGCTCCATACTGATTGACTGACTGACTTATTTATTTATTTATTTATTTATTTATTTACTACTCTTATATACCGCCGTTTCTCAGCCTACAATGGCGACTTCCTTTTTTATGAAGCGTGGCTGAAAAGTGTGGTCCTTCAAGTTCTCCTGAAGGTCGGTGGAGCCCACTAACTCATGTGAGATACCCAGATTTGACCTAAGCATAAAAGGAAAAGGAGAGGAATTGACCGAACCTGTTGTGTTGACCAACAGCTGGGTAACTCACTTCGATCTGTGCCTTTGCACATCTTGTTCTCCATGGAAGTCTTTATGTAGAGGTATTCCACCTAACTGTACTGTTGACATTTTTAACTGAAATGCAGATCCCTAGTTGCATTTATCAAAATATAACTGTATAATGTGAAAGTGACCCAAGTCAAATTTCCATAATGTTGCTGTTCCCAGCATGAAGAGGACCATAATGTAACTGCTAAAATTAAAGATGAAAAAATAGAAAGCTTAATGCAGCCTCACAAACATGGTTGAAAATATCGATTTTCAAATCCAGACTTTTAAGAATGAAGTACAGGCAGTCCCTGAGTTACAAACACCAACTTACAAATGACTCATAGTTAAGAACAGGGGTGAGACAACAGAAAATGAGAGGAATCTATTCATAGGAATGGAAATTCACTCCTGAAAGAGTTACCATGTGTTATGCTGTGGCCCACCTCGAGCCATGGGGAGGGGCTGGTAAGAAATTAAATTATCATCATCATTATGGGGAAAAGGTGTCTCAACTGAAGCTTTAGCACCAAGCCTTGTTTCCACAATCCAATTATCACAGACAGAAAGTGGGGTGAAATCTTCTGCACAAGGGCACAGAGGCTCAGGTGTTTCCTGTGCAGCCAACCAGGCCATTTCAGAAGGAATTGCCCCCAAGGGTCCTCCAGAGGAGGCTGAAGCCAGGAGGGAGGGGAGCATCCAGAGGGCGAGTGTTATGACTAGGGAAGCAGCTGGAGCTGGCCCCGTGGTACCCTTACGGATCAGGAGGAGGGGGGAAGATAGTTGACTTCCTCCTACACAGCGGGGCCACTCACTCAGTAGTCACAGAGGAGTTCCGGGGGGGGGGGGGGTCTCAGCAGAACCCAGGTCTCCATGGTTGGAGTGTTGGGCGTGAGGCACTGAGGTCCTTCATGCAACCAATGGAGTGTGCGTTGAGAGGAAAAACTTTGTCCCATCAGTTCCTCTACATGCCAGAGTGCCCCATCCCTTTACTGGGGAAGGACATTTTGTATAAGATCTGGCAATAAGTAACCTTCGGACCCAACAAGATCAAGCAAAACAAACACCACAGGAGTGTTAATGCTTCCTTACCCTACCCAAAGTTTGTGTCTCTCTCTGTGTGTGTAGAAATGCACTTTAAATAATGTACCTGTTCCAACTTACAAACAAATCCAACTAAAGAACAAACCTACAGAACCTATCTTGTTCGTAACTCGAGGACTGTCTGTATTCAAAGTCTTCTGCCGAGATGGATTTATCTGCAAATTTTGTTTTCTTTCATGTTCACATAACTAAATCTTAGGTGCTCTCTGGCTAATCCATGAAGTCTCCACATGGCCTTTTAAAAGGACTGTGATTCCTCTGCTTGGACTGAAATTCTTCAATACTATCTTAACGGACAACAGAGTGACAACACTTCACACAAAATCCAGCTCTCATTTCATCACATTTTTCTCCTATGTGATTTTAAACATCTTTGCCTGATGAAGTAGCTGAGTAAAGCTTTGAAATCTTGTATAATGGTTTTTCTGCATTTTAGTTTGTCAATATAGGTAATGTTCTTTTGTTGATTTTATTGTATTCTCCAATGGTTAGTTATATCTTTTTTTTAATGATAAAGAGATAAATGAAGAATTTCTGAGCCAAATTCAACAGGATTATGTAGTACCTGCCTGCCATGTAGCTGATTTATGGCACACCACTTGAAATATGTGCCAGATTTGTACAGCAAGTGCTGTTGTAAATCCCACTGTCCATGCCAAGAAAGGATGGCCAGAGGAGATTAGTACTGTTGGAGCTCTGCTCCTTTCATCTTTTTGCCAATATGTACAAACACTGACATGAATGACACCGTGTAGGAAGATTCCTAAGGATCAGAAACCTTCCCCATTTTGTAAACTGACAGTTGAAATCAGTGGTGGCTTGTGGTCAAAGCCTCACTGAAATTATGGGGAAGAACATCCTTCCTGCTTAAATAACAAGGCCCATATTGTTAAATACTTGATTGTTTCAGAGAGGATGGTAGACAGGCATGTAGTACAATGCACAAAAGAAAGCATCTGTGGCTATACCACCTTTTTGTCACACAGCGACACCCCAAGACATGTTGATGGCTGAAGAAGAAAATATAAATTGCATTTCCATATAATACAGATAGTGACAGCTTGGTATACTTTAACTGACATTTTTAGGCTGCCTGATTTATTTATTTCATGTAATGTCAAAAGCTTTCATGGCCAGAATCACTGGAATGTTGTGTGGTTTCCAGGCTTGTTGTGTTTCAAATAGTAATAATAATAATAATAATAATAATAATAATAATAATAATACACTTTTGTTTATATTCTTCTTTATCTCCACAGAGGGACTCAGAGCGAATTACAATATACAGATATAGGGCAAACATTCAGTGCATTTTACACAGTGAACAACAATGACATACAATACACAGACAAAGGTAAAAGCCTTTTCCCTTTCATCTCCAGCGCCTGGTGGCGATGTTCAACTCCAGCCATGGAGAGGTGCTGTAGTTCCATTTTTCTATGCCGAGGAGCCTGTTGTCCGTAAACATCTCCTATCATGTTTTGCTGGCATGTCTTCATGGGGCGCCCTTATAACTTCCCGACGAAATGGTACCTGTTGACCTACTTGCATTGCATGCTTTTAAACTGCTAGGTTGGCTAACAGTGGGAGCTCACCCAACTCGTGATTTTGAACTGCTAACCCTCCGGTCATCAGATTTCCTGCAGCAAGCGGTTTAACCTGCTGTGCTACCGCGGTCCCAATACTCAAACTATTACACCACACTGGCTCACTAGTCAATGCTATCTGATGTATATCATACCAATTACATATCCTTTTATTCTAAATTGTTAGAGGCCTGCTAATGGAAAGGAAACAAAAAGGGGAGGGGGGCAATCCAGTTTCCCTTGGAAGGAAATTCTACAACATAGGAGCAGCTACTGAGAAAGATGTCTCCCATATCCTCACCAGTCAAGCCTGTGAGATGGTGCAACCAAGAGAATGCCCTCCCCAAAAGCTGCTAAAACCTGGGCAGGCTCATATAAGGAGGAACATAATGGTCTTTGGATAGATTGAACCTGATAGATGGTTAATGTATCCCCCTAGCCAGGTTCCAAACAAATATAAATAATGCATGTTCAGAGAACTATATCATTTCCATGATATAAGAGAATGGACTTCAACAGGTGACCTAATTCCATATATATGCAGAAAAATACTAAGTCAAATGGGGCTATTTTTATGGAACGA